GGGGGTTGTTTGTTTGGTCTTGTTTTAAGTAGGCTAAGGACGTGTGGAGATAGAGACTTTTAAAGATCCACTAAATAGTCCATGAATGGAGGATGTAATAGAGTAAAAATTTGACTATGATGGGGCTGGAAAGATGGTTCTGAGGTTAAGAGTATGTACTTCCCTTCCAGACGACCTGAGCTCCATTCCTAATACCCACATCAGGTGACTCTCAGCTGCCTGTAAGTACAGCTCCAGGACAGCCAATGCCCTCTACTGGCCTCCATGTGTACCTCACATTACACACATCTATACACATAACTTTTACCCAAAACATTGGCCGTCAATTTCCCAATCTGAGTATGTATACCTTACTAACATAGACTTTAGCACTCCATTCTTCAAAAGGTAGTCTGTGTTCCTATTTCTTCAATCTGAGGTGTCCACATGGCTTTCTTTGGACACAATAATGAGGTGGTTTTGGTGTTGAAGTAGGCATCAGAGGCTTATAGCTCTATTACCTGAAAGGACGTCAATTACTGCCTGTGGGCGATAAAAGTCAGTATGGAGGAGACATCTTTTGATCTCAGTTACCAGACACAGGCCAACCAGTCCTCACACTGGCTCAAGCATCATAAATGAACATGAAGAAACAAAAGGGGGCATGAGGGAAGCCTTTGGGTATTGGGGACATGCCCTTGAAGTGGATTATAGGGTTCCAGGTACTTCCTCCCTCCCTTGGGCTGCTTGGCCATGGGGTTAAGGCTTCGCTTGGTGTGCTCCATCATAATGCACTGCCTCTCTACAGGCCTCAAAGTAAAGATCATCAATCATGGGTCAGAATCTCCAAAGCCGTGAACCAAAACTTTCTCTCTTTATGAATTGGTTGTCTCTAGTATATTTATTATAGTGACAGAAAGGTGGTACAGCATCCAGTTTGGAGCAAGGTTGGAAAATATTCTTTGACTTTGGCCTGCAGATGATATCCAGGTGACCCAGACAAACTCTGGGTATGTGATAGGAGCCAATTCTGTGTTATAAGATGCTGTTGTCCTGTGTCCACACAGGCCAGAGGCAGCATTCTCCTTGCTTGGCTCTTCAGATACACCATGTACAGGTTTCCTAGGGCTGTTGTAACAAATCTCCATAGACCAGGTAACATAAACAATAGAAATGTGTTCTTTCAAACATTTGGAGACTAAAAGTCCAAAGTCAAAGGGCCATCCAAGTCAGGCTCCCCCTGAAGGTTCTCGGGGAGAATCTTCCTTTACTTTTGACTAATTGGCAGTCTTGGGCAACACTTAGCTCGTAGCTGCTTCACCCTCTTTCCCAGCATTCATCTCTTCTGGCTGTTCCCTTTCTCTATGGACATCAGGAATCAGTTTAGGGCTTACTCTAATCTCATATAAGCTCAATTACAACCACAAAGACATTATTTCCAAATGTGTTATAGTTCAAGGTTCTAAGCGTATATAGATTCAGAGGGATGATATTCACCTGTTCATTCTGTGGTCACATTGGTTTGTGTCTGTGTAAACATTCTCCTTCAACCTTCAAGCTTGCCCCAACCCAGCCAATACCAGAGCAGAGCTGATGAGCATGCCAGATGGGTTGTTTCCATTATCATCTTGCTTGCAATCTCTCTCTCAACATAGCAGGGTGTGACCATGACCTTCAAAAAATGCTCTGGCCAGCCTGGTTCACATAGTGAGTTACAAGCCTGGCAGGGATACAAAGTAAGACCCTTTCTAAAACAATTTTAAAAAAAAGCAGCAACAACAAAAATGCTTCTTGTGGTCAAGAGGGATCTGTGATGGCTAGTTTTCTGTCAACACAAGCTAGGGTCATCAGAGAGGTGGGAGACTCAATTGAGAAAATGCCTCCATAAATCAGGCTGTAGACAAGCCTGTAGCATATTTCCTTAATTAGTGATTGATGGGGGAAGGCCTAGCACAATTTGGGTGGGGCCACTTTGAACTAGTGGTTCTGGGTTCTATTTAAAAAAAAAACAGACTGAACAAGCCACGAGGAGCAATCCAGTAAGCAACACCCCTCCATGGCCTCTGCATCAACTCCCACCTCCAGGTTCTTACCGTGTTTGAGTTCCTGTCCTGACTTCCTTCAGCAATGAGCGGTGGTATGGAGGCATAAGCCAAGTAAACCCTTTCCTCCCCAAGTTGTTTTTGGTCATGATGTTTCATCCCGGCAATTATAATCCCAACTAGAACAGATCTATTTCTCAAGGTGTTGGCCTGGGCAGAATTTTATGTTTAAATTATATTCATAAAAGGTCACAGAGTTTCCCATTTGTACACACATTGGTACTGTTTGCTTTCACTATGAAGTAGAAAACATTCAGTAGTGCTTTCTTCCACCCCTTCCAATTCCTATATCCTTAAAGAAAAACAAATGCTTTCAAGTTGAATGTAGGTGTTAATGCTATGGTTGGTGTTTCTGTCTTAGATACTTTATTAGCTCGATGTCTCTATTCCCTAACAAGTGCCCTTGACCTGGAGCTGTGTACCCACTGATGAGTCTCTTCCAGGAAGAGACTTCGAGGACAACTGGGGATGGGAACAAAGGAGTCCCACCAGGTACTGAAAGGAGGGAAAAGCCAAATGTCAGTAAACACAATCAGAGAGTGTTTGTTCCCTGTGATGATTTCAATCTGAGAAGTGCCCCCCCCCACACACAACTATATTTGAGGAGGTTGCAGGGTTGCACTGCAGGAAGTGGGTAAATGGAAGTCAGCCTTTGAAGGTTGTATTCCAGCCCTGCTTCTGGTCCTTTCTCTACTTCCTGACCTTCATAAAGATGTGAGAACTGGTATGAGCTACAAGCTCCTGCTGCCTCAGACCAAGCTACTCTATCATGCTTTCCCTTCTATAATGGACTGTATCCTCTGAGTGCATGAGCCCAACAAACCCCTCCTCCCTTGTTTCTGTTGATTGTTTTGTCAAGGTCATGAGAAAAATAACTAAAACTGCCACAGAGTAGATCTGTAGATTGGACCTGTAACACCCCCCCCAACAGGCGTGGGCACAAAGCCCCTGAGAAACAAGTAGTTTTGCAGACTCAGGGCTCACTTTTAATGATTCCAAGTCCAAATTCAGATCATCTATGAGTTAATCCAGTGGATTGCCACACATTAGTAACGACAAGATACTTTGAGGCTAATATTAGAACATTTAACTTATTATTTTTGAAAGACATAGGTATAAAAATATCATTCATCTTCCTAAGCAGCATCTAATACACTGGTATAAGTCATTCATTCACTTTGCAGATGGATACTTGGGAGGCAAAGCATTTTTAATCATCAGTCACTTATTAGAATCACCCGGGGTTCAAATTTAGTTGGTGAAGGATGAGACCCCAAAATTTATGGACTTAAAAAGCTCCCCAGTCCTTTAATCCCAGCACTCGGGAGGCAGAGGCAGGCGGATCTCTGTGAGTTCGAGGCCAGCCTGGTCTACAAAGTGAGTTCCATGACAGCCTCCAAAGCTACAGAGAAACCCTGTCTCGAAAAACCAAAAAAAAAAGCTCCCCAGTCAATGTCAATGGGCCACCCTGGTTCAGAACAGTTGGTATCAAACATCAGAATGTCTGGAGGTCATTCATCCCCAGCATATTTACTACTAAACAGAAAATGTGCCTATGTCTATGGTTATATTACTCTACCACCATTCCCTGCATTAGAACTAAATACATCTCCCAGTAGGTGGGCTACTTTGCAAAAAGGTAGGCAAGAAACTTGAAAGAGTAGATTCTGTTCCACCAAATCTCCAGTTTTACAAAAAGCACTCCCCTGTGAGGCACAGAGCAGAATGGGAGTCTCTGATGCTACTGGGGTGCCGGTTCCTTTTGCCAGTTTCTAGATTTAAGCACTGTTATCCAACCAATGCGAAAGGTAGCAATACAGGAACCAAGAGCACAGACTCCCTAACACTTTCAAATAGAACAGTCACATCTTCTCTACATATCTGGCCTCTCCATTCCATGTAATCAAGTGCCTCCTGGGGAAACAAAAAGACCTAGAAACTACTGAACTGAACTGTAGCTACATGTTTTTGTTTTTGATGGGGGAGCAGGATCTCACATAGTGCAGGCTGACCTTGAATTCCTAATCCTCTACCTCCCAAAAATAAAGTCTGAACATTGTTTTCTATCCTTAATCTCTTCACCCACTTGCTGTGGGTTCTGGTCAATCATTTCTATTTCCTTCATTCAATATGGAAGGTTGGATAACAGTGCTTAAATCTTATCATGCTTTCTTACTTTTCTAGAGAGAACAAGATTAGATGAAAAACTCATCTAATGAAGGGAAATGACTTGGAATTCCAGATAAAATTTAACTCTAAACAATAGCAAACTAGAGAAGACTAAAAAGTTACTGAACTCAATAAATATCCTTAGTATCCTAGGGAGATCTCAGTTCCATGACAGTCAACCCTAAGGATACTCAAGTCTCTTTCCTATACAATATGACATAGTATTTCTATGAATTACCCCGTGTTAATTCGAATGCCTAGTATGACATAAGTTATATATAAATTACTAGTGTGCTATATTCTAGGTCAGTGATTCCCAACCTTCCTAATGCTGTGGCCCTTTAATACAGTTCCTTGTGTTGTGGTGACCCCCCAACCATAAAATTATTTTCATTGCCACTTCACGACTATAATTTTGTCACTGTTATGAATCACAAATGTAAAAACCTGTGTTTTATGATGGCCTTAGGCAACTCCTTGTGAAAGGGTTGTTTGGCCCCAAATGAGCTGTGATCTAAGGAATAACAATAAGCATGTCCAGTCCCCATGAAATTTTTAAAAATATTTTCTACCCATGGTTGATTAAATCTGCAGATAATCCATTCATACAAAGGAACCACTTTAGTCACTGCTGGATGCCTTAGCTGTTGCCTGTCCATAACATGTAGGATCAGGACTTTGGAAGCAAATCATTCGGCCTGATCTCATAGTAACCAGCACAGCATGGAAGACAGAATGTTAATCACTTACCATGAGAGATGCAGCAGATGAATATACTGGTTCTCAAAGAATTCATAACTGGAAATAGTGCGTCCCTTATCTATGGCATGGCCATTCTTATACCAAATCACCTCTGGCTTGGGCTGACCTGATTTTAAAAAAAACATTTAAGTATTTAAGTATTTTCAAAAAGTTATAAAGCTGTATCTTTATAAATTACAAATAAGAATTAATAAGAAGCATAATGGGATATATTAACGAAATACAGAATTAAAATGCTATCCCTAATCATAGGAAACTATTTTTAAAATTAAATTATCCAAAATAAAATAATTGTCCAAAACTATGATCAATGGTCAGGAAGATGACTCCGCAGATGAAGGCACTTGCCACTAAAATCTGATGACTGAATTTGGTTCCTGGATCCCACATGAAGGAAGGAGAGAGCTGACTTCCATAAGTTGGCCTCTGACCTTTGATCCCCAAATACAATCTGTGGTAGTCATGTATCCACCCCACACAAGAAAGAAAGGAAGAAAAAGGAAAGGAAGGAAAGAAGGGAGAAAAGTAATTAAAATGTGAATATATAATCAGTAGAAAAGGTCAAATTTTTAAAAATATTCAGTAGACAAAGATATAGGTGGTATTTGATTTTCAGTGTCATATTGGACCAAAGTTTCATCCAAGAGCCTTGACCTTGAGTTTGTTATGCTCAGCAATATGACTGATTAAAATTTCTAGATTCAATGAATTTATATGTCATCCTTTAGGTTTTATCCAACAGAAATACAAATAACGCCGGTGTCGTAGAAAGATAACACTGTAAAGTTCTGCTGCCCCATATTTAGTAGTGTTCTACCTAACCCAAATATGTTCTCCGGACATTTTTAAATGCCTACAAATATGTAGCTTCTCAGGCTTAATATTCTCTAGTTCTTTTATTCATTAATGAATTGAACAAAACCTTTGGTTGTTAATTCTATATTTGCACAGAGATCACTTTACCTTTCATTTCTTTTAAAGACTTATCTTTAGTTTTATGTGTCTATGGTCATGCCACCCTGAACATGCCCCATACCCTATGATCTCAGAAGTTAAGTAAGGTCGAGCCTTGTCAGCCGCTTGAAGGGGACAAGAACAAAAATTCCATCTTCTTCCTAAAGAGGAAGTTTGGAGTATAAAACTTCTAGACTGGTCTTATGTGTTTGTGAGTGATGTGATCTCAAAAACTGCCTCACTGGCCCTTCACCCCTCTCTGGTAATCAGTAGCTGGATGTGAATGCTAATGGGCCAATGGAGGAAGTTAACCCACACAGTAGGAATTTTGTCTTTCCTGTAACTAGGCAAGGAAGTTTCCAGTGTGTCCTGAGGAGCTTTCTTACTACTCGGGCGCCACCAAGAATTATCAAGTATGTTGTCTGGGCAGGAAGCAAAGATCAGGGTTGGAAAACAGCGTGTCAGTCTGGATCCATACCAGGAACAGTCTCGGGTTTTGTTTCTACATTATGTAATTTTTGACAAACAACCCAGAGAGTGCCAAAGAAGTCCTTATTCTTTCAAGGCTGCACAGAAAGGGTAGGGAGACAAAAGAGGTCAGGGTGCTAAGAGTCAGAGAGACCTGTCCCAGCAGGACCTGAGAATACTCAGGACCTGGCTCCTTGCCTGCTTGCCTCCTTGGATGTACTTTTTGGCATCTGTGGGGCTTTCCTACCTTCTCCTCCAGGCAGGTGCCCAAGCAGCTGCCCCCAAGGCCAAGAACACAGAGGCCCACATGTAAGGACATCCACTCGCCTGCATCTGCTTGCCTCATACCGGCAGATGTTAAGTCAAGAGGAGTTTCCCTGGAAACCAACAGAAGAGGCTGCCGGGCTTCATCTCAAGCCCCTCACTCAGTCAATGTCCTCCAGCCCCTGCTTAGGAAGCAGTGAACTCCTCCTTCTGTGTGTGTGGAGGGTGGGCGCTTTTCCTGAAGAAAGTATGTAAAGCATGTGAGAGCTGACCCCTGGGACCTTTTGACCTCCAGTTGCTCATTCAGAATGATCAGGTCCAGTCTCTCTCCTCCAGTTTCCTGATTGCTGCCAGGGTTTTTCCCTGTGCATAGCCTGAGCCTGAACCATCAGTCAGAAATGAGACGTGCATGGGAAGTGGTATCTTGTACCTTCTGGAAGGTTCTCTTTTCTCCTGGAAACCTCACCTAAAACTTCTCCTTCCTCCCTTTGCTTTCCAATGCTAAGGATGGAACCCGGGGTCTTAGGCATGCTAGGCAAGCATTCTACCACTGAGTAATACCCCCCACCCCCAGCCTTCCTCCCCTTATGTTTGAACCTCTCTGTGAGTCACTACCTGAACCATCCCCAATGAACTAGCTACTATGTGTGAGGACCAGTGACCAAGTTTAGGACACATGTGGGTTCTCCCAGAAGTGCACTAAGAAAGCCAGCCGTGGACTTGGAGAGGCTGAATGTGGATGGGTACCCCAGCCTCCAGACTAAAGACAAGGCTTCACCTTGACTTCTGCAGACAAAGGGTAGTCATTTCTATGACCACACTCCTCCTCTGAGTTAGGAAGAGAAGGTAAGCAGGTAAATGATTTCTGTCTGTCCTAAGGAAACACTGTGCATATTATGCCTTTGTGTTTACACAGGTAGATATATTCTAAGAAAGTGTGATGATATATTGTTTGTGATTTATTAAAGCCACTAGAGATCAAAATTGTAAAGTGGCCATATTAGTTAGCCATAGAAGTAAGGCACACACCTTTAATCCCAGGACTCAGGATTAGGAGGTAGACGGATCTCAGAGTCCAAGACTGCCCTGGGCTACCAGAGAGTGAATCAGAGCTCATGCCTTTAATCCCAGCACTAGAGAAGTATAAAAGATAGGAGCAGGGTCTTCAGTAGTCAGTCTCTGGATTCAACAGCCATGTTGAGGAAAGCATAACAGTCTGGGATTGCAGTCTGAGGTTTGGTGGAGGCAGGATAGCCTTTCAGTCTGAGGTAGAGGTAAGAGCTAGAGGTGTCTCTTTCTCTATGGATCTTTCTCTGTTTCTCTGTCTCTCTTTCTGTCTCTCTGTCCCTCCCTATCTCCCTGTGGTGTGTGTGTGTGTGTGTGTGTGTGTGTGTGTGTGTGTGTGTGTGTGTGTATGGTGTGTGTGGAGTATGAGTGTGGTGTGGAAGGGTGAGTGTGGGGTGTGTGTGTGCACCCATTGAGAGTGCTGCAGCACATTTATGGAAGTCTGCATGAGTTGGTTCTCTCCTGCTGTGGGACCCAGGGAACAAACTCAGGCTGTCAGGTTTATACTGTATGTGCTTTTATTGTCTGCACTATCTCTCTGCTCCCTTACTTTTAATGAAATCCTTTTACCATTGGGCCACTAACAGCCAAATCATCAGCTCGAGTGAGCTATTCTTCAATCCAGGGGTCATTTCCATCTTTGGCCTCACCTATCTGGGCACTTCTTGCTTTAGTTATAAGTTGTTCTTTGTTTACTACTGTGCCTGAGGATGGCATCAGTAGGAGGCTAATTTAACCAGCCTTCGGACACTGCTAAAAGCTGACAGAAGAGCTTGATTTTATGAAGTGAAATTATTCAAGTCGTTCCTGGATACCACAGCAAGTGAAAAGCAGAGTATCTGAAAATTAGGAGGTAGGAGGGCTACATAGCCAAAATCCACAGCAGGCGGTGAGGAAAGTCACTCGGTGTCCAGAAAGTCACTTGGAAAACAGCCTAGAGGATTAAAGTTGCTTATCTGATTACTCAGAATAAATGTCTAAGGTGATTTTCTCAAATGTTGTTTTCATTATCTTTGAGTCAATAACCCTGGTCTACAGAGAGGCATGGGGTAATCTAGGCTGAATAGCAGCTAGGTTGGGATGAGCAGTAGTTAGTCTGAGTAGCAGCTAGTCTAGGGTGAGTAGTGGTTAGTCTAGGGGTCATTACCGGCTATCATGCATCGAAGCACGACATCAGACTTCTCCGGAACCTTCTGGGAAAGTAACGTTGATAAAAAACATAGTGTGTGCCTCTGAAGGCCGCCAGGATCTGTCATCCTTTCATGCCACGTGATCTGAAACACAAAGAAGGCCGCCATCACTCTATACCCTGTGATTGCTATGTCCTCCTTGGGAATCCCAGGAGCCATGTGGTGTGGCTCTGTTGCCCAGCCACAATTGAGACAGTAGGCAAGTGGAGGGTCCTCAGCAACCTTGCTGGAGCAGAGAGCTACCGGGATGGTGTGGCAAAGGCCCCCTTATAACTCAAGACAGTTTTGCAGTCTCCCCGATCTCTACCCAGTAGAATCCTGGCATTCCACTTCCTCCGATGGCAATGTTAAAGTGTCCCTTGGGGTAGAGTTGGGTAGCCCTGCCTGAAAGCCACAAATTAAACTATCAAAGCTCTGAGAGCCCAAGCTGGGAGAGAATAAGCCCATGAATCTGCAGTTCTGGCTCTCTCTTCTTGCTATGCATGCTGTGTATATAGCTCAGTTTTTAGGTGCTTTCCCAGCATGCACGAGGTCTTGGGGTCCATCCACAACATCACACAAGCAGTCTGTAACTGCAGAACTCTGGAGGCATAGACAGGAGGATCAGGAATCCAAGGTCATCCTTGGCTACACAGCAAGTCTGAAGCCAACCTCAAAAAATATGAAATAAGTACATGTGTTTACTTCCCCCTAAAGGAGTTGACTGTATTCAAATGAATCTTTAGGTTGGAGAGATTTGAAATTTGGAAACTACTGACCCTTTGGAACGCCCCAGGGGAGGGGGGAAACGGGGCCTGCACTTTTGAGCAGCATGCCTCCTTTGGTACACACAGGCACCACACACTTGTTAGTCATCAGGTAATGTCAGGTCACCTAATAAATCTTAAATTAACTGAAGAGTGGTTGTCAGAGCCTCTTAGATTGAGTATATGAGGAACAGGAGGCTCAGGAAGTTTCACCAGCTTGCTGAAGGTATCGCAGCGAGTGGCTGCTACCTTGAGGCTGCCTGCCTTCAGGACTGTGCAGGCTGACACTGGAGCAAAGGGGACCCAGCTTGCATGCTCTGAGATGGCCCTAATATGCAGGTGGGTCTGAATCCAAAGGACTGTTTTTCCTATTCTACCTACAGATATGTGTAACATCTCCCACCAAAGTTGTCCTTTAGAGAGGCCTGAGCTTTGAAATCACAACTGAGTCTATCCAAACAGTAGGAGTCTGCTTCCCCTTTCAAGCCTCAAACACCATGGAGCTCAGAAAGAGGGCATGAACTGCAGCATGTGGTGAGCAAGAATGGAGAAGAGGGGGTTAGAAACTGTAAATGGTCAGTCTAGGGGTTCTGGGACCATAGACAGCCTGGATATTAGTCTCTGTACCATTGACATCTGGTCTCCACCCATATGTGGTACAAATGTCAACCATTTAACTATTAACATCCATCCAGTTTCTGCCCTTTCCTCTTGGTTTTCCAGACTGTCTAGTTCCTGGAGAGACATCTGCCAGAGAAAGGTTCCCTAGCATTAGCCAAAGGTCTCACTGGCACCCATGCAGTCTTCGATGAGCAGTGAGGAGAAGAGAGCAAGTCCAGGGCGACTTCACAGTGTGGAAGGACCTTTGTTTCATTGGCAGGATCCAGCTCTGGAAGACCGGGGGACTCCCTGTTCAAATAAGACCAGGATTGAGGGTGGTGACAGAGGAATGTCAAACTAACAAAAGGCCCTTTTGACTTTGGCATGTAGACCTAGATCTGGGCTCCTGTGTGGCCTATCTAATAAGCACTCCTGAACATTCCACCCATAAAGTCTGGAAATTTGACTCATGAATGCCTGCTGAGGCCTCTCCAGCTACTGTTGAGGTTTGCAATGTCTCCTTCCCTTTAAGATGCTCTGTTTAGTTTAGAATAAGATGAGTCTCTGACCAAACTGCCTCTCTATGGAAACTTCCCTCTCTGTGCATCCAGGCAAAGACACTCATTTAAGAGAACTTGCTACCATCTTCCCTCCGTGTGCTGCAGGAAGCAAGTCTGTGCTTAAGCCTGAGGTTCCACAGATCCACTTAATGGGTAGAAATTGTCCCAGAGTGGAAGGTGGTACATGTTAGCATCAAAAGGCAAGAAAAGCCTTGAACACTTAGACTGGAAGAGAACTTTGACATGCCCAGTGGCTGCTAGGACCTGTCACGGAAAGTGGAAACGGTTTGAAGGAAGGAGTGAGTCCTTTGGGTTTTTGGTAAGAGAGATGCAACTGCATTTCCATTAGTTTGGGTTACAGAACTTCTATAAACATGGATGTGGGGAGCCTGAAGCATCAGGGGTCCCTGAGTGACCCATTATATTTAACTTATATGAGAGTTGGGTGAACCCATCTCAGTGTATATGGTAAATCATTTGTACTGGACAGGACAAGAATTGTCCATTCTAGATTAACTCACAAGCACATCTGGTGGCTGAGGAGTTTGACCTATTGCCATAAAACCCAGATTTAATTCTTATCTATCAGCCTTCTCTCACTTTTCTCATAGGATTGCTACCATCCTGAGATGCCACGATCCAAGGATGCACGAGTCTTTTATATAAAATGATACAGTGTTTGCACATAGCCTACGCACATCCTCTTACACTTTGAACCATCTCTGGATAGCTTACAATGCCCAATATGCCGCAGATGCTATGTAAAAAGTAGTTAGGAAGTCTCATTTATGGAATGGCAGGGGGAAGTCTACTTTTTCAGCACATATAAAATTTATTCCAAAATAACTTTGATCTAAAGATGGTTAAACCCACAGATGTGAAATCTATAGATATGTCTTAGAGGTCACAGCAATGTGCAACTGGAAAGATTTTCCAACTATTCAGAAAGAAGTGCCTTTAAAAGCTTCAATTTTGTTTTTAAATTTTGAAAATTCTTACAACTTATCTTTTATGAGAAAGAGAATTTTAAAAAAACATGAAAAAAGAAAACTCAAAAGAAACATGTAGCTCAACGGTTGAATACTTGCCTGTCACATGGGAGACCCTGGGTCTGATCCCCAATGCAGAAAGACAGAAACAAAAGAAAAGACAGAGGTAGGGAAGGAAGAAGCCAGAGAGATAGAGACAGAAATAGAGAGGGAGGGGGCATTGTCGACTAATAGTAATGAATAGAACAGAATAACTACAGAACCAAGAAAAATGAGAGAGGCTATGTCACCCTCAAGCTGATGAGAGGACCCACCTTTGCAGAACAGGTAGAAAAACAGCTTAACAGTGGTACAGTTGTTCCTCATGAGAGTTCAAGTTGGTCATAGAAGCTAGAGATACAGATTTGGAGGCATTTTATTTGTTTGTTTTTCAAGACAGGGTTTCTCTGTGTGACAGCCCTGGCTGTCCTGAAACTCACTCTGTAGACCAGGCTGGCCTCAAACTCACAGAGATCCATCTGCCTCTGCCTCCCAGGTGCTGGAATTACAGGAGTGTGCCTGTATTTTACCTTTTTAATGGTATTTTTCAATTGTATAGCAAATTCCATGCAGGGAAAGGACAAGGTTTGGCAACCCTATGGACTTGTGGCTTCAAGCTGGAAATGGCACCTCCTGTGACTTATTGACTTATTGGCGTGGGGTAATATTTAAACACACCTGTAATGAGATAATTAATATACCACATACTTCACCCACTGAAAAGTTATGACTCCATGACTTTCATTATAACTGGCTTGTGCAACCATCATCACCACAATCAATTTTAGAATGTGCCATTACCCCCAAAAGAAACCTCACATCTCCCCATCTCCATGCCCAGTCCTAGTCCACAGTAACCACTAAGCTACGTTCTATTTCCGTGGATTTGCCCCCTCTGGACACTACCTGTATCTTCCACTTAGCATAATATTGTCGAGTTTGTCCACATTGCAATGCATATTGATGAATGTCATTACCCTTTCAGGCCAGTCTGCAATACTTATTGGGAATTCCTGTTGGCAAGACTACCTTGGCTCTCCACATTCCTACAGACTTACTCAAAGAATCTGGGGGATCTCAGAGCTGGAAAATGCTCTCCTGAGCAGTAGTCATCCTAGGCTTCAAACATAGACTGCCAGGAACAAATGTAGATGCAGCTCTGTCGCTTACCTGGGGAAAGGATCAAACCTATTTCCTCATCTGTCAGCCAATGGTAACAATGTAAGGATCAGAGCCCACGTCAGCCACCTCCTAAGACTGTTACATGATTAGTTAGTGAAGCAGTAATCTGGAAGCTCTCGAGTGAGACTGCTTTTTCACGAGTTTCCTTTTCTGCTGTGGGTTACCGCAGTGCTGCTGCTGTTTTTAAAGTGATAGGCCCACGACCAGGTAAACACGTCTCCTGGAGTAATGCTCACTGGGAAAGTAATTTGCAGAGCAAGTTTCCGCCCACTCTTACTCCTAGGACCACTGCTGTGGGTTGAATGGAAACAAAGGGCTCACAACACTGGGCTGACAGCAAGGCCCTGTGCGTCAGCTGCAACTTCTCCGTAGGTGACCACTTCCTGTCAGTTCTGTCCCACACGTGAAAACCCTGACATCGCGTTTGACTCACGAGGCTGGGTTAGTTACCACGAGTCTCAGCCACTGGGCACTGACTGTTCCCTGAAGGAAAAGGACAGTTAAGTCAGGCTGTGGTTCATGTTTCGTGGCTTCTCTGAAGGTGAGAATGACACATTCATCGTTCTGTGCTAGAGATGACAAATGGACATGGAGTGTGCTAGAGATGACAAATTAATGCTGAATTATGGGCATTAGCAGAGAAAGTCCTAGTGGGTTTCAAAATCAACCTTTAAAAAGATGTGTTAACCAGAATATTCAGATTTCTAATCCCTTCCCGCTTTGCGTTCTTTTCTTCTTCTTGTATGGTTTGGGGCAAATTTCTTACTTTAAAAAAATGATACAAGAGGTTATGACTTCGGGGAATCTGTGGGACATTGAAGGAGTAGGAGGGGGAAAGAGGGAGGGGTAGAAATAATGTAAATATAGTACTCGCTACATTTTTATAAAGATCTTCTGAAGAGTAAAATAACCATTGCTTGGATGTTGTCTAATATCTGTGCTTTGGGCTTAGTATCTGCAAAATTATAAAAATGATGTCTTTTACACAAACTGGTAGAAAGAATGAGCCTACAGGCAGCTTCTTGGGGGCATCTTTGTAGAGGTGGATGTTTTCAGTTCTCTTGGCGAGGCTTTCTAGGTGTAGAATTGCTGGCTCATTAGATAGTTCATGTTTGATGTTTTAAGAAACTTAAATTGTTTTTCACAGTGTCTTTACTATTTTTACACTCCACTGGGGAGACTCAGGCGCTGCTCTGTTCTGTACATGTCCTCGATGGCATCCACCTCTACGAAGCTTCACACAAACAGAATTACTCAGAGGACCAAAAATTAGAAACAACCAGAATATCCAACTGGTGAGTAAAGTGTGGCATAGTCATACAACCTAGTAATGAAAGGAATAAAGGCTGTACATGGTATGACATGGATGGACCTTGAAACACTCTCAATCATACTCAGCAAAAGAAGTCAGACCCCAAACCCACAGTATATGAGTCCATATATGAAACATCCAAAGGAAGCAGTAGGGTCAGTTAGTGGCTGCTGGTGGGAAGAAGACTAATTGACAACAAATACATATAGGTTAATGTATACACACACACACATACATATACATATATACATATACACATACACACACATACATACATACACACATACATATACACATACGTACGCACACATAGAGAGAGATGAAACATGAAAGAAGGGGGACTATTTGGCAGGGGACCAGCAGAAAGGAAGAGGTAATAGAAGATTGAACATGAGCAAAATATGCACTATTCATGTTTTAACATGTCTTCACAAAGCTCATCTATTGTATATACTGATAATACCTTTTTAAACACAGAATGTGCCCAAGAGATCTTCTGTGACAAAAAAAAATATGTGGTGATAGTTACCTATATGGTAAGTTTACTTAAACCAAGTCATTGCATTAAAACTTGGAGTGAATTATGGGACATTCAAACATATCATAAACAACATTAATGTTAAAATAGAGAACCAGAAACAAATTCTTGAAGAGCACCTACTGTTTTCACCAAAGCTCTTCTGTGATAGCAAGAGGAGGCAACATAAACACCCATTTGTAGGAATCTGATGACATATGTCTGAACAGTAGAATCTTGTAGTTTCTTGTTGTGGGGATACAGTATCCTGCAGCCCAGGCTGGCTTCAAACTCCCTGTGTAGCTAAGGATGACCTTGAACTTCTTCTGATTGGCCCACTTCCACCTCCCAAGTGCTGGGATCATATGGATGGTGGGATTGAATGCTGGACTTCCTGCATTGCTGGCACACACTGCCAACTCGGCTACATCCTAGGCCTTGATGGAATCTTTTATCAGCAGTGCATATTAAAATGGAAAAGGGCAGTTCTGTATTATGACAGATACAAAGAAACCTCCAAAATACATTGCGAAGTGAAATGAAATGTAGAAGTATTAAGTATGCTAGCCCTTCTCTTTAAAAAAAAAATCCTGAGAGATGACAAAATGGTTCAGTGGATAACACCACGCCTGAATAACTGAGTTGGATACTCAGAGAACCCACGTGGTAGTAGAAGACTCAACTCCCAAAAGTTGTCTTCTGACCTCTACTCATATCATGTACATTGGCAAGTATACCCACTTCTAACCTTGCCAGAGTATTTTAGGAGGAAGATTGTCATAAACTGCTTCTACTTGCCTTACTTTCTGGATTTATTTTTTTATTTGTTTATCTACTTGTGTATGCATGTATGTATGTAGCCCAGATTGACCTTGAACTCATCAGTCCCTAACTTAGATTCAGGCATAGGCCATGAAGATATTTTGTTTTCAATTGTTCTTTTTGTAATTTTTCTTATGTACACAGGTGGTTTTTGTCTGCATGTATGTCTGCATCACATGTATGCCAGGCGCCCATGGAGGCCAGATGAGGACACTGTATCCCCTGGAACTGGAGTTGCAGATGGTTGTGAGACACCATGTGTGTGTTGGGAATCAAACCCAGTTCTCCTGGAAGAGCATCCAGTGCCCATATTCACTAAGTATTCTCTCTACCAAACCACAGCCCTGATTTAAATTAAACAGTAGAAGTTATTTAATAAATGGAAATGGTTCAAATTATGTAACAAATAGCAGTAATGATTAGATTTATGGGGAAGAGTGAGTCAGTGAGCCAGCAGCCTCTTCCATGGTTCCCTTGGCTGGAGGTAATGCTGTGTGGAATACCAAGGTATCCTGCCTTCAGATTCCTGCCTTGAGTTTCTGCCCTGACTCCCTCAATGATGGACTTGACCTAGAAGTAGCTTCCTGTCTCCATACCCCAAGTGGCAGGATTCCACTATGCCTGGTTTATACAGTCCTGGAGAGCAAACCTTGAATCACAAACACTTTAGAAAGTTACCAATTATTTTTGAGGTAGCACTGTCATAGAAGCAAGATATGCATTATGGATAAAGAATATCACACACCTAAAATTTTTTTTTAGTTTTTCAAGACAGGGTTTCTCTGTGTAACAGCCCTAACTGTCTGTCCTGCTACTAGCTCTGTAGACCAGGCTGGCCTTGAACTCATAGAGATCTGCCTGCCTCTGCCTCCCAAGTGCTGGGATTAAAGATGTTTGCCAACACTGCCCACCCCTAAAAAAAATTTAAAAAGCTCCAGGAGGTGGAGAGATGGCTAGGCATCACATGGCTACTCGCAACCATGTGTAACTCTAGTTCCAGGGGATCTGATGCCTCTTCTGATCTCCACAGGCACCAGGAATGTATTTAGTGCACATACATACATGCAGGCAAAACACTTAAACACATGAAATGAAATAAACAAGTAAAAAAAAAGTTAAGCTCTTCAGAGGACAGTACTGTTAGTATTCAGGCATTTTTACTGGCCTGTCCTTGGGGTTCTGACAGGATATGTCCTCAGCTGCAGCCACCAAAAGCACCACCTGTGCACATTCACTGTGTTCCCTTTTTAAAAGGCCATACCCATTCTCTCTCTCTCTCTCTCTCTCTCTCTCTCTCTCTCTCTCTCTCTCTCTCTCTCTCTCTCTCTGTGTGTGTGTGTCTCTCTCTGTCTCTCTCTCTCTGTCTCTCTCTCTGCCTTTCTTTTCTCTTCTGCTGCTCCTGTCCCCAGAGACCAGTCCCCCCACTCCCTTCTCCCTTTTTCCCAGTCCCTTTCCCCTAATTTTAAAAACCAAAACCAAAAAACCTCCATGTGAGCACTGTCTCATAGCATCCTTTTCTCTCTTGCCACTTTTTAAATTACAAGCACTACATTCAAGGGCTCACTCCATTGACAGTACAGATTGCTCTGTGGAAAAATACTTTTATTTGCCTGGGATGTACTTTAAAACAGGCTCATCTCAAGACTTTAAGGCAGTGGTTCTCAACCTTCCTAATACTGTGACCCTTTAATACGGTTCCTCATGTTGCGGTGACCCCCAACCATAAAATCATCTCATTGCTACTTCATATCTATAATTTTGCTACTATTATGAATTGTAATCTAAATATATGATATGCAGAATATCTGATATGTGACCTCCACGGGATGAGAACCACTGCTTTAAGGCATGAATGAGTCTACTATTGACTTTAGACCAAGGAAAGCAATAGGATGACTTCAGAGACCTTTCTCCAAAACGGCTTTTGTGTCCTGATAACTGCTGGTCCCTGGATCTCTCACCACTCAGCTTCCTGGTGACTTTGGTGTGGCCAGACCTGCCTAGCATGCTCTGTGAGCTCTGGTTGGCCTAAATTGAGCATGGTTTTCCTAATTGCTGACCAGTTCAGTCAACAAGTCTGAGCCAAGCATCTGCGTGTGTACCAGAAAGTGGTGCAGGAGGCAATGAAACCTGTGCAGGGCTTAGGCCTTCCGTTCTATCCTCCACAGAAAAGAGAAAGCGTGGGGTGGGAGGGAGGGCTTGTCAGAGTAGCTTTTTTTGACAGAAAGCTATCTATCTTGAGACTGTGAGAAAGCTGGCTTGAGGTTGAAACCAAAACAGAGAGAAGCTGAGCCTCCAGAAATGCAGAGAGAGAACATGAGTCCTGGCCCATTTCCTAGACTTGTCTTCCATTGTATGAGCAATAAATCCCCCTGTTGTTTCCATCAACTGTGGGCTAATTTCATTTGACTTTTCAAAGACATATTGAAGTAATCCATATCCCCTCCTCCTTTACCCTGGTTCCTGAAATCCCTACTACTGACTCTCCATTCCAGATCTTGTGTTGGACACCATACAACAACCAAGTTTTAGGCAGAAGTAACAGATTTGAGATCATCAAACTATAGACAGAGCAACAGATTTAAGACTAGATGGCTTACTCAAAGAGTGTTTCCCTAAGGGAGCACTGAGGAAACTGTGAAGAGCACAACCAAACTCCCTTTATTCCATACTTATTCCTTTTCTGCCCTTCGTGGTTGTGCTTAGTTTTCTTCCTTCCATTACACATCTTCCATATCTACCTGTTCAAATCCCACAAGTTTTGAAACAAATACAAGAGCTTGCTTCCATCAATGGCTTCCCTGCTACCCTCAACTGGAAGAAACTAGCACCTTCCAGAGGATGAACTGTTTTTCCACACACAGCTAGACTGAGAACTGTTTGCCTGCAGAGTACCTGGTTACATTATCTTCTTCAGATTATTTTAAGCACTAACACAACATGTCCATAGCCTTGTTATCTCTGAGAAAATAAATCCAGTGACTGAAAACCACTGAGCCAAAGAGTTGCTTCTCTTGAGGTGGTTTCAGCATCACAACAGCATCTCCTGAGACTATGGAAGACACAAGAATGTGTGGAACTTCAGAACCAGAGACTCTTGGGTAAAGTCCAACAACAGGTGTTTAACAGGCTGTCCGAAATCTAGTGTGCTGAAATTTGAAGAACAAGTAGACTCAAGAATGCCTTAAGCAGGCCTAGAGAGATGGCTTAGAGGTTAAGAGCACTGGCTGTTCTTCCAAAGGACCCAGGTTCAATTCCCAGCACCCACGTGGCAGCTCACAACTGCCTGTAACTCCAGTTCCAGGGTATCTGACAACCCTCACACAGGCATATGTGTAGGCAAGATACCAATGCACAAGAATGCCTTAAGCTATGGAGTGAGGAGTAGATGACCCTGGTCTTCTAGGAGCAGGTTGAAGATCAAGTGAAGATCAAGGACACCTGGGCTTCCTGAGATAAAACCATAGTAGCCATGGAGGATCTGGCTAGAGAGCGGTAAACTCACAGTGCCCAAGTTGAGCTGTCCAGAGCTGAGGGTCCTGGTAGTCTGGTGTCCAAGCTTTGACTCGATGCCCAGAGTGTCCTGGTCAGGAATACACTTATAGAAACTCCAATAATGGTTCTAGATTGTGTGTGTGTGTGTGTGTGTGTGTGTGTGTGTGTGTGTGTGTGTGTGTGTGTGTTCACAAGTGCATGGGGTACTTGTGGGGATTGCATGTAAATGTGTGTGCAGGTCTCAAGACAACAGTAGTTATTCCTCAGATGCCATCCACCCTGCTTTTGGGTTTTTTGTTGTTATTGTTGCTATGTTTTTTACTTTTACATATTTGTGTGGCAGTGGTGGCATTTGTGTGCTACAACATGGATGTGGAGGTCAGCAGACAACTTGCAGGAATCTGTCCTCTCCTTCTGCTATGTGGGTCCCAGGGACTGAACTTAGGTTGCCTAGCCAGTACCTCTACCCAGTGAGCCTTCTTAGTGACCCTAGTTTCCTGTTTGTTTGTTTTGTTTTCAAGATACTGTCTTGCATTAGCCTGCAACTCACCTAGCAGGCTAGCCTGGCTGGTGAACCCCAGGAATCTGCCTGTCTCTACTCCATCAAGATTAAGAGCACTCACCATGCCTGTGGTTTTTTTCTTTGTTTGTTTGTTTTGTTTGTTTGTTTTGGAGTTTTTAATGTGTGTTCTGGGAATTGGGCTCATTTCCTCATGCTTGGAAGGGAAGCACCTTACTATCTCCCCAGCCCTCATCATTCTTTAGTGTCCTCTTCTTGCTTTATTCCCTCATTATTGCCAGCCATAAGACAGCACTATTGCTTCCTCCCAAGTTTCTTATATAATTCTACGCTTCTAATTTTCCTTTTGGGTAGAATTAAGCCGAGAACCACAGGGCTGCTTATGACCTTCCAGTAACTCAGGCAAAGAATTCATCAAGATATTCTTATCTATCTAGGGGGAAACCCTGAGATGGTTCAGAAAAGGAAGGGACAATACAAGACTGTCTGCTGTCACAGTTCTTTGGAAATATCCCATGAGCCCTAGTCAAGATTCTTTTCTCTCTACTCATGGGCCTCATTAGCTACTGCAGTCTGTGGTGTGCTCCTTGTAGTAGAAACCACACTGCTTCCATGATGGCCTGTTCTACTCCACAACTGTAAGTCTCTTTAGAGAATTCCTCTCTCCTTCCATGTTCTACTTGACCTGTTCAATCAATGTGAGGATAAATTATAATCTTTGAGGAAAGGCTAGGTACCTGCCTTGCTTTACATAGTTTTCACAATAACCACAGATATTCACTTGTACACATACATTTACCCTACCTTTTATTCCTATGGTTCCTCTAACATTCTGGCTTTAACACGGTACTAATAGATATGAAAAAATGTTCTGAAGTGACGCTGACAAACCTTTACTTATCCTTTCAGATAATAAGCATATAGTCATCTTCAGAACAAAGCGTATTTTCTCTTATGTATCAACAATACATCCTAAGGTAAATCCTTTTTAAAACTTGTTGTTTTGACACATTGTTTTCAAGTATAGAATTTTCCTTAAAGTATCCAATTTGTTCACTGTGCCGCTGTCAATAAGATTTTTTTCCCTATTACTTTGTACAGTTACTATGGTCATATCCTGAAGTATTGCAGGAGGCACTTTTTAATGACAAGGCAAAGAACCTACTTTTGTTGAGAAACTATGGTACCATGTGTACTTTGGGTATCTGTGTTTATCCCACCCCTATCAATCCTGTTAAAATGGATGCTGTCTTCATTCTACAGGTGAGAAAACTGTGCTGGAGTTAGAGGTGGATTCCACATTGAGCTTCAGATCCTGTCCTTTCTTCTGAAAGACTATTCTACTTCCTCAGCACCTTGCAGATTAGGAAACTCACAGCTGCACTCTCCCTGCATACGCTAATATCTACACATACATATGCACAGGACGATTCAAAATGGATGCATTTGGGATCGTGTACCTAATATGAATACAAACTCCTCTCTACTAAACATGGCCTCCAATTTTTGGTAAACACTTCAAAGTGGTAATGTACTTTGAGACTTAAAATGCATTTGGGTCCTAATTTCCAATACCTGCACCTGCTTATTGGCCATCAGCATGTTTTAATACAGGGTGTGTCACATCCTTGGTTTCAGTTCAGAACTCTAGGAGCACACAAGCTCTCTCTATTTCCCCTTTGCTGGACTGCTGATATAATCAAACTACATGCCTTCAGAACACTGCTCTGGCTCGACTAAAGGAAGTTTACTCCTCCCCCCCACACACACACACAAGAAGAAGCTGTGGAAAGAAGATAGTTTGAGCAGAAGCAGACAAAATGCTGGACTTGCTCTCATCTATTTTTAAATGGTTGTCAGATGTCTGTAACTGACACCCTTAATTGGAAATTCTGAGGTTTAAATATGTTCATTAAGATTTACTAAAATGTAACATGATGATGAATCCACTTTTTAATTGATTTCCCTTTTGGGCTGATTTTTAATCTCAAGGTTTCTTTAATATATTTAGTGACAGTGTAGGTCTGCATAAGTCATTTTTAAATACCCAGTGGTTTTCCAGCAACTTGATCTATTCCTGCACAACACACTGCTGCCCACCTAGAAAGCTAACATGTTCTAATCATTCAGATAATCCAATGCAAAATGAATATTTGAAAAAAATATTCAAACACCCAGGCCTAGTATCAACTAAATATTTGCCTTGATTCCTCAAGTTTACAGTGGATATGATTTTCATTTACAAATCGATCCTTTGGGCCATTTTTTGTGTTTGTTATTTCTAACTGCTAAGACAGATGTGAAAGGAATGGTTTTAATCAGTGGCAAACCAAAATAAACAAACTTTTTAAAATGTTCCCAAGTTTCATAGAGGTCAGACAGGACTTGACACAAGACCTGGAGCATTTAGCCACATTAAAAAGCTCTGCACACCACAATATCCCATCCAGCCCCAGCCTGTCTCAGAAGGAAACAGCCTGCTTTGTTCTCCGTTGTAGAAAATGCCAATGGTGATATTTAAGGCACAGCCAATACTTGTTAAAAACCGAAAGTCTCCATACTTACTTTTCAATACTGTCTATCCGAGAGATGTTATTGGATGGCTGGCTTGTTGTTGGGGTCCCCTGGCTGTGTGCGAAGCATGGGTTGGATGTCCTTATGTCCTAGTCCCCTGACAGGGACTCAGATTCAGGGTCTTGTCCACAAACAGATCAAAGCACAGTTGGATCAGTTTCAGAAAAACTCATGTCTTCCTAGGAGGGAAAAGTCCGTGCCCAAGCAAGTTCTGGAAGGAGAGCATGTTTTGCCTGCCCTTGAATGAAATAGGTCACTGCTGAAGCAGGAGAATATCTTTTAGCATCACTGTGATGAAACTTGAGGGCCGTTTTCTGCAGTAGGTGCGACACTTGTTGACGCTGCTTGTCTGCCGGAGAGGCCCTGGCAAAGGGACTTGATGAAACACAGTCCCAAGGGAGCTGAAATCCAGAAGAGCTGTCACTGACTGCTGCTGGAGAAGGAAGGACAGCTCTCTGCAAAAAGTCTATTCAGGACCTTGATTTAATTGCCCTCCTCTTAGGAAAGCAATCGAGTTGAGGGAATTTTTGGCATTTGAAGTCATGATAGGAAACTCCCGGGGGGAGGATGGGAGGGAGATGAAAATAAGATCTCATTCATTGTTCCTTTAGAAATGACACTGCTTCCCCTGAAGTTCTCTGAGGAAAAGACACAAAGGCAGGATCCCTGCCTCAGGAATTTGAGGCCATTCTCAGCGGCAGTGACATGATGAGTTAAGGCCAGCCTAGGCTATATGAAACCTTGTCTTAAAAACAGTCAGGCATGGTAGCATACACCTTTAATCCCAGCACTTGGGAGGCAGAGATAAGCAGATCTCTGTGAATTTGGGGCCAGTCTGGTCTATATAATGAATTCCAGGCCAGCCAGGGCTACATAGAGAGATCCTATCTCTAAATAAACAAATAAACAAAAAATATGAGAAACACAGAAAAGTGCTATGGTCCTAGTCCTTCAGTTTGTCAGCAATTATTCCTGTTTCAAAGTAGTTTCAATATGGGCATTTCTTTGAAATTTGTTCAAACCCAAGAAAGGACATGGAAAATCCAAAAGTGTCCTTTCATAAGTTCCCTTGCCTCACTACAAAAATATTTTAATGCTTGATACCTGGAAACCAACTAGCTAGAAGGAAACCTCTTGTGAGACAGAGATGGCTAAAATTAGCAGCTCTAAGTGGGTGACTTTGAAAGGGACATGACCGAAACGCCACTCTGTGGTGAGCACCGTGCTCCTCAAAAGCAACGCGCCTGTGTGCACAGTACAGTGTGCTCCTCGCTGTTCTGGGAAGAAGAGTCTCACAAAACAAAAAGTCACTATCCAAAGTTATTAAATATCAAGATGTAGTCTGTTCCCCAGAGGAGTTTGGTTCTTCGGGTTTATCTACACAGGAGAAGGAAGATATTGAAAGCCCAAAGACTCTGAAGTGACACCGGCCCCCTTGTAAACACAACCACGAAATAGGGACTAAACACAAAGAGACTGTGGTTATCAGCTCTTTTCATGTAAAGCTGGGGGTCTTCTCAGCCTGAGGTCTGTTCCAGAGAAAGAGAGAAAACTTGAAAATGGGGACGAAAAGGTGTGACGATAAAGAATAAACAAATTGGGCCATTTTGGATAAAGTAAAAGTGAGCAAATGGCCCAGGACAACAGATCACTGTGACATAGCTAGGAGAGAAGATGTGCATACGTGGGACAGGTGAAATTCACTCTGAGGCTTACTGTTCTTTCAAGACCAATCCCTTGAATTCCTAGTATTTGTCTCCTAGTAAAATAGATATAATAATACAGATATTTGCATACCCATGTATGCTGCGCCAGAATTCACAATGACCTGGTTATGGAATCAGCCTATGTGCTCCTCAGCAGATGAACGGATAAAGAAAACATGGCACATACGCACAACAGACTATTCAATCAGCCATTCCATGAAATAAAGTTATGCAGTTTGCAGGGAAATGGATGGAACTGGAGGTCATCGTGCAAGATAAGCCAGTCTCACAAAGACAAGTGCGATGGTTAATCATTGTCACCTTGACTGAGAAGTCACCACTGAAAAACCCCTCTGACTGTGGGCGAGAGTATTTCCAGGACATTTGGCTGAGGCTGGAAAACTAACCTGGTTGTGGGCAGCGCCATTCTATGAACTGGGGTCCTGGGATGGATGAAAGGGGAAGGCTACTAAGCAGCACACTCGTCATCCACTCTGCTTCCTCGCTGCAGGTGCCATGTAACCTCATGCACCTGCCGCCACACCTTTCCTTACCATGATGGGCTGTGTCCTCTCCAACTAGAAGCCAAAATATGCCACCCCACAGTCACGTTGCTTCTTGTCTGGTCTTTGATCATGGCAACTAGAAAAGAAACCAACACAACAAGCATCATGTATTTTCTATCATATGTGGGATTGGGCATATTAGGTTTGTTTTTGTTGCTGTTGTTGTTGTTGTTGTTGGGTTTTTTGTTTTTTGTTTTGGTTTTGTTTTTTGTCAATTTGGTACCAGCTAGAGTCATCTGGGAAAAACAGAACCCTCAGTTGAGAGTGTGCCTCCATCTGGCTGGCCTATAAGCATGTCTGTGGGGGTGTTTTCTTGATTAATGATTGATGGTGGAGGGGGGTTGGTCAGCAGCCCACTCTGGGCAGTGCCACCTCCAGTGAAAGTGGTCTTAGAAAAGCAGGCTGATCAAGCATTGGGAGCAAACTAGAAAGCAGCATTCCTCATGGCCTCTACTCCAGTTCTTGCCTCCCGGTTCCTGCCTCAAGTTCCTTCCCTGACTTTCCTCCATGACAGACAGTAAACAATAAGATGAAAGAAAACCCTTCCTCCCCAGATTACTTTTGGTCATGGTGCTTATCCATGACCTAGAACAGGTGGGCAGGGGAGTCAATAGGGACAATTAAGGATATGAGAGGTAGAGGGACAAGAAAGCAAAACAGGACAGGTGAGCAGGCCAGCATACATATAAACATGTAAGGAAATGCTATACTAAAGCCCATTGCTTTGTGCAATAGATATACACTAATATATATATATATACTAATATATATAAACAAATGAAAGCAAATGAATGTATAAACTGAAAGGTACATACATACATACATTCATATGTATTAGATCTGATTACATTTGCCTTGTTAATCATCTCATCAGCCCACAGATACTAAGATTTTTGTTTTAATAACAGAGTTTTGAAGAGCATGGGTACACAAAAATCAGGAACAGAAACCATGGAATTAAGCCCGATTTGGCCAGGATATTTACTCAGAATTTTCTGTGTTTACTCAGAGGAAAGATAGAAAAAGTAAGATTTTGAAGAGGAAAAGTGAGGCCTATTCAACTTTAATACATTAAAACCATAAGTTTATGATTAAAAACAAAAGGATAAAACATGGAGCACCATCCCAAGCAAAACAATATGGAATGTAAGGAAATATGTTTAAGTGATCTCTTTTTCTGAAGCTATAAGCCAGTGGTCCTCAACCTGTGTGTTGAACCCCCTGTGAGGGTCCAATATCAGTTATTCTGCATATCATACACTTACATTGTGATTCATAACATAAGCAAAATTACAGTTATGAAGTAGAAACAAGATAATTTTATGTTTGGGTGCTGTATTAAAAGGTCACAGTACTAGGAAGGTTGAGAACCATTGCTTAAGTGAGAAAAAATATTTCATTCGTAGGGAGATTTCCCTTCTACTGAGTACACTTAGAAATGTACTTTTATATCAGATGTTTTTACATCCCTCTTACCAGAATCCTATTTGTTATTTTCTTAGTTTCATAGATGAGTGGATGTCCTTGTGATCACATAGAGGTTTGGGGGTAGAGATCAAGTCAGTCACTAACTAATCTGAATACTTAGAACAAATTCATTAGGTTCTAAGCTGCTCTTTGCTCCCACAACTTGGGTTAGGTATGTGGGGAGGTTATCTGCTCACATTAGTCTCCTTGGCATGGCAGATCTGTGAACACTGGTGTAGGATGGCAGGGGTGATGTCATACCCTCCCCTGTTGAACACATTCTTGGCTGAGGCTTGGTGCCAATCACATGTCTGATCAGAGGTTCTGCCAGAGTCCTTGGGACAAGCAGCAGCTACTTAAGTATCTTTAGGAAGCTATCAGTGTTTGAGAAGGGTGTACACACACTGTACACCACACACACACACACACACACACACACACACACACACACACACACACACGGCATGCACTCACAGAGTCACACAAAAATAAAACCTAAAAAAGAAAAGAAAGAAAAATCAAACAAACAAAAAACCAAACTATCAATAAAACCAGCCATAGCTATTTTGCTGGGGAAAAAAAATCACTTATGGAAATCACCTAGAGGTATGCAACAATTTGATGTCTTCTGTATGAGTGAAAACCTTTTTGGCTTTGGGCAATAACAGTGAATCTCTGGGATGTTCTGCCTGAATCTGTTCCCATTCCCTCCCCTCATTTTGGAGTACAGAGGCTCTGTCATGGGCATTTACACTGTTGTGAGTGAAGGGGGCTCATTCGGTTTAAAACAGTGGGAATGCCCGTGCTCCACAGTGCCAGCGATGGCTGTAATCTTGGCAGCAGGTGAGTGGAGAAGGGCATCAACACTTACTAGCTTAAGAACCAGACTGCGGTGGAGGCTATGTACACGTCCCAGGCAGATCAGCGAGAACCTAGCTGTTGGCATAGCGTCAGCATGAACAGAAGACTCACACAACGCTGTAGAAGTAAACCTCGGGGCAGGCTTGAAAACGGCAGAAACTTAAATGCTCTCCTCTCTGCTCTCACTAATCTCTTGGCAGAATGTGGGAAATGCAATGGCTGGAGGGACCGGGCCGCAGTCTCTGTCCAGTCACTAAATACTATGGAGTTTTGCCATTGTCAGGAGAAAGTTTCAGTGAAGAAAAGATTTAGTGAAGGTGAATCGCAGGTGCACACACCTGTTTCCCCAGCACTTGAGAAGCTGAGGCAGGAGGATCACTAGAGTCTGGGTGTTCGATACCATCCTGGATAACACTGGTAAGATCCCACCTCAGAAAACAAAACAAAATTAGGACTGAAAAATGAAGCAGATGGAAGGGAAATCCGGCTCAGCAGTTAAGGGGGATGCTCGTCCTACCAGAGGCCCTGTTTGGTTCCCAGCACCCACATGGTGACTCAACCATCTGTAACTCCAATCCCAGGGAATCTGATGCCCTTTTCTGGCCTCCATGGGCACCAGGCACTCATGAGCTATAGACATGCAAGAAAAGCACTCATGCACATAAAAAAATAAGAAGGTTGGAGATTTAGCTCAGTGGTGAGAACTTGCCTAACAAGCTTAAGGCCCTGAATCAGGTTCTTAGCTCAATTAAATAAATAAATCAATAAATGATTCATGTCTATATACTTTGAGGAGGAACAATTTCAGACTTGGCCAGGCAAGCGACTAAACTAAACAAATTAATAAACCAAAGAGCAGCAATAATCCTTGGGAACAAGGGGTAATTTAGAGTTACCAAAATATATTATCTGAAAGTTTAAATCTTCAATAAAAAAGCATGAGATGTGAAGAGAAATAAGAAAGTAAATTCTTAGGAAAAAATCAGTTAACAGGAATCATTTTTCAATATTACCTT